GCAGATGGACCCCTTTGAGAAAGAAATCAATACCCACACAGATGCTGAGTACCAATATAGAAAACACCATCCCCCACCCCATCCTCCCCACCCCACTTGCTGAGGTCATCCCCTGAAGCAAAACATGCTGTGTCCTGGGTGGGGCCAAACATCAGGGGCTTTGACTGATGACATGGCCCCACCATCCTGCATCTTTGTCCTGCCTGCTTCAAACTGCAGCAGTGCCACAGGCTGAAGGAACAGCCCTTCACAAGGGAAAAGCATTGGAATAGGATGGGAAAATGAACTAGCCATGGGACCTTAGGTAAGTCACTTAATGTCTCTAAATCTCAGTTTCCACATCCATAAAATGGGCAGGATATCAAACCTGCCCTGCCTCCATCATAGACTTGAGTATTAGCTATGCTAATCCATGTGGAACTGAAAGTTCATTATTTTCTCATCATGAAGCTTGATGATATGTAAGGTGTTATAATACTAGTGTTTGTTTGTTTGGCCAAGCCAGGCCAGACACTTGAAATTTACACTATCTTGCTTAAAATGGCCCAGTTCTATGCAAAAGTCATCAGCTTCTGGGCTGCCTGAATTGTGTCAAGCTGGATGCTAGCAAACTGTGGAATGTGTAATAATACAAGCTGTTCAAAAGGGACTAGGAATCATCTAGAAAAGGCCCCTTAACAAAGGAACTCCCCAGTAGCAAGCCCCATTGCCTCATATTCCACCAGTACAGCAGTAGAAGCTTTGAAAGGCAAATATTACTAGGAGAGGTTAACATATTGGCTGGTTGCCAGTCTCTTACACTTTAGTCTGAATTAGTCTATTCACAGATTCCTTCAGTACTGCTCTTAAACTCCCCAACAAAGGGCCCCAACCCAGGGAACTGAAAGATAAATTTGATAGTGGAGAAAAGACAGAATTTTGGAGACTGAGACACTGCCTTGAGAGGTAGACCTGGGTAGAGCCCTGCAGTGGATACAAGAGGGGACTGGGCACTTCAAAGGAGGTAAAACTAGTGAAATGAACAGTAAATAAAGGAATGGTAGAGAGTGCTGAATCAAACTCACTTTATAGTTTTTCTCAAGTTCTAAAACGGGGAGAATTGAATCCTGTGTTCCTTTGCCTAGTCTGACTCCCTCTTTGGGACAATTATTTTCCTTTTCTTCTTCGTAGCAAAGATTTTAGCTTGATAGCACTCCAGGTAATGAAAAAAACAAACAAAGCTAATTTAATAATCTTGACTGTTGCTCACTGTAAATCATTGTTTATCCCAGACAAGTAATTATCTGCAAGGCTCTCCTACATGTACCATCTTTTAATCAAAAGTCCTTTAAAGTTAGTTGGAAGGCTTTTGTCCAATATAAGTTACCTATTTTAAGACAAATGCATTCAGGACTCTAAAAAAGACCCTCCAAGGTTGTAGACAAGGGAAGTATTGTAGAACCCTTCACTTGTGTAACATGCTGCCTCAGTTTCCCCAGGGTGATCAGCATCTGGAGAACTAAAGACAAGACAGTGAGAGGAGAGAGGATGGCATTGATCCAAGCAAACACAAAATGGATAGCTCACATTTCCCTAATGGACCCTAATGAAATCTGCTCCCAAGCCTAGACATTTGTGAACCTTCGGCTCATTCACAACCCGGCCAGTCACCGGTCAGTGGACACAAAACACCTAGGGTACCATGGTGATCACCCTTGACCCCCCCCACCTCCAAATTCCTGTGCTCCTCCAGTTCTGGTGGATTCTAGCCTCCATGGTCTTCCCTTGTAATTTTGCCCTTGCTCTCATCCATTGCACTTGACCCCTAAATTTAGATTCCAAATTTGATCCTCAGAGCTCTTTACTCACTGTAGTAGATTGGATTCACTCATCACCAAATATTCTGATTCTCTTCCCTATGAGAGGATTCTAAAAGCTGGCTCCATTAAACTGCACAATAGCTATGGGCTCAGTGGACCAATGAAGAGTGGGCAGAAGTGACATGGTTTGCCATCTTTCTTTTCCTTCTGTCTCGATGACCGAACAGGTTCTAGGAGAGGCCACTCTATCAGCCTGGTCCCAGCAGGCAGATGTGGAGTGGCAGTGAGCCATGTTGGACACAGGAGTGAGAAATAACCCTTTGTTATCATAAACATGGAGATCTGGGAGTCTTATCTGTTATGATAGCGTAACCGATTCCCACATCCTTGGATTCCCACCCCTTACAGAAACTCTAGACAGACAAGATGCATAGACTGCCAGACTCGACTCCAGCCCCAACGCACCGTGATGTTCAAAGAAAAAACGTAGATCATCCGCCCGGGAAAAGCAACATCCTCAGGTATGCTATGACAACTCAGTACCTGAAGTGGTATGTAATGTTCTCAGCCCCCTTGATGTCATCTGTCTTTCTGGGTTTATGGCCTTTGAAAAAAACCTCATCCCAGAATCCAGCAGGATACAGAATGCCAAAAATCCCCTTTGAATAAATGAGGCATTATCATCCGAGAAGGCCGTCCCTAAATCTCATGATATGGCCCTCTTCCAGGTCTTATATAAAATCACCCATCAGGCCTTGCCCGGGCCATCTACTCACCTCGAAAATTACCAAACTCCATCTAACACTAACTATAGAATTGCATTTCTAAAAACCCAGCAGCAATCATTAGAAGTGTTACTTTTTATGTCAAATTTTCTTCATGTATGGATTTTCCTTTCTTCTCTTTATTCACCTTCTCAACCATATAAATAAGGTGGCAAATTCAAAAGACAGCTGCTCTAGGGTCTGACAAACGTAGGTTCTGATTATGTCATGTTCTCCCAGTGCGACCTTGAGAATGTTTGTAGCTTCCTAGGGCTGCCCCTCCTTGCCTGTGAGTCTGAGATAACTATTCAGAGCCCGCCACTGCTGGGAGTTGTGCCTGACACTGAGTACGAAGGCTTTCCCAAAGTGGGGGCTGCCCACTGTCACCACATTTTCTGAGCCCCAACTTTCCTCCTTATTGTAAACAGATACATCCCAAGGGGGGTGTATTTTGGGGAGGCATTTCCTTCATTAAGTCAATGTGTAAAAGTTGTGTATTTCTGTGTTTTAGCTCCTATCCCCACCCCCTACCTCTGGGAGACTGTATTATCTTGAGGATTGAAGTTGTGATAGACTTAGTGGTTCCAAATGTCTCAATAGTATAATAAATGTTCAGCACGGGCTGTTAAATAAAATCATGAATGAACTGACTCAAAATGGTGAGTCTTACGACTCAAAATAATTTACTACTACTTATTCTTTCTACTTCTTTCCCCTTAGTTCTCTCAAAAGAAGGGAACGTGAATGTGTGTGTCACACACTGAGCTCTTTAGAAGTGGAGTGTTATGTCAGAAAAGTCTGTTCAAAATATATTCTGTTGACATCCAATTGGAGAGGAGAAGGTCCGCCCTCTGCAGCTAGTGATTGTTCATCGTTCTTGAATTCTGCCATGCCCCAAGGGGGTCAGCCATAAACAGACTGATTCTGCTGTGTTGGCTGATTTTTCACTGTGTTCAGGATGTACACAATTTATGAGCTAGAGTTACAGCCATCCAGTGGTTTAAATTATACGTGAAATCATAATACAAATTTTAAAAGGTAGCCAACCTCCCAGCCTACGTTCAATTTTGTAGATTGTGAAAAATAACAAGCTTCTGGTTTTGTTCTTAAATAGATGCCGATCTTTCCCTTCCTGACCTCAGTGTCTGGCTGGTACTCAACCCAACCCTTGCTTTGGGACATCTGTCCAGCTATAGTGGAACTCGGGCTCCTCCCAAAACCTGGGATGGTTCCAGAGGCTTCCAGGGGATCTGGGCCCATCTAAGTAAAGAAAAATCTTTGTTACTATCAACCACACCACCCTTTTGAATTGCTCTGGAAATACAGGGTGGCTCCCCTCCCAAAAGCACACTCAGAAAGTAGGCTACAAGGCAGTGCTTTGCAAACTGTGTTCTGTGACCACCTGCCTCAAAATCCCTAGGATGGGTGGGTTAAAATGCTGACTTCTCAGCCCTGTCCAGATGGGCTGGAGCAGAATTTCAGGGAAGGAAGCGTGGAGATCAATATTTTTCATAAGCTCTCTAGAAAATCTTCCACCCATGAAATTATGAGAATCACTAGAACCTCTGTTAAGAGCACAGGTTCTAGAGCCAGGTGGGACCTAGTTTGAATTCTTACTTGCTATGCGATCTTAGGCAAGTACTTAACTTCCCTACACCTCAGTGCCCACACATCTGGAAAATGCCCCCACAGTGTGGGGGAAAGATAAAATGGAATGAGATTAGGCATATAACGCAGGGGTTCTCAAACTCCACATGCACAGGAATCCCTGGGGGTCTCGTTAACGTGCAAATTCTGATTCAGTGGGTGTGGGTTGCAGCTTGAGATGCTGACTTTTTCTAGCAAATGTCTTAGTACCCTGTCCACACTTTGAGTAATTGCCAGACGCACAGTAAATTCTAAAAAATGTTAGCTATTCCAATATAAGAATTGGCTGGGCAAGAATGGAAAGACAAAGAAGAGAGCAGTGATTTTTTAAAATCATGATCATCCACTGTAATTATCTCTGGTGCTTTGAAAAAAACGCAGGTGCCTGGGCTTCCATCTTCAAAGGTTCTGATTCAGTGCCTTCACGGGGGAGCCCAGAAGTCTCTGTGTTTAAAGTGCAACAAGTGGCCCTAACCGATTTGGCTCAGTGGATAGAGCGTCGGCCTGCGGACTGAAGGGTCCCAGGTTTGAATCCGGTCAGGGGCATGTACCTTGGTTTTGAGCACATCCCCAGTAGGGGGTGTGCAGAAGGCAGCTGATCGATGTTTCTCTCTCATCAATGTTTCTAACTCTCTATCCCTTTCCCTTCCTCTCTGTAAAAAAATCAATAAAATATATTTTAAAAATAAAAATAAAAAATAAAGTGCAGCAAGTGAGCCAAGATGAAGAACCACTGGATCTAAAAGAATAAGTGTCTCAGATAAAACTTATTTTGCAGCTACTAAGATGTTAAAGTGTCCCACTAGTACAAAATGTTTATTCACCATTGCTATAGACTGAATGTGTGGGTCTTCCCCAAAATGTATATGTTGAAATCCTAATCTCCAGGTGATGATGTTTGGAAGAGAGCCCTGGGAGGTGACTGGGTCATAAGGGTGGAACTCTCATGAGTGAGATAGTGTCATAAAAGCAGCCCCAGAGAGCTCCCTAGCCCCTTCTCCTTGTGAGAAGATGCCACCAATGAACCAGGAGGAAGGCTCTCACCAGACACTGAATCTGCTGGTGCCTTGCTCTTGGACTTCACAGCCTCCAGAACTGTGAGAAATACGTTTCTGTTGTTTATAAACCACCCAGCCTACGGTATTTTGTTACAATGGCCCAGACAGACTAGGACACTATGATGCCAGTCTAAAGCATACTGCCTGAGTCATGGCCATCAACAAAGGAAAGAGGAAACTTTGGTCTCGGCTCCTAGACTGCTCTAGCAGTTCATTATAGGGTCAGTCTCAGTTGCTCTTCTGTCCTTTACTGCACAAAGGACAAAAGGGTTACAAGAGGCAAACACCTTAAAGCAGCGGTTCTCAACCTGTGGGTCGAGAACAATGAAAATACATCCTGCATATCAGATATTTACATTACGATTCATAACAGTAGCAAAATTACAGTTATGAAGTAGCAACAAAAATAATTTTATGGTTGGGGGTCACCACAACATGAGGAACTGTATTAAAGGGTCGCGGCATTAGGAAGGTGGGTCCATCCAACTCTATCACTTAAAAGCTGTGGGATCTTGGACATCCTACATTAACTCCCTGCTCCTCAAATACTTCACCTGTGAAATTGGGAGGACAGCTAGCCCACCTACCTCATAAGCTGGTAAGAGTCGGGTGAATACTCTATAACTTTGCTACTCAAAGTGTAGTCCACGGACCAGCAGTATCAGCATCGCCTGAGAGCTTATGGAAACGCAGAATCTCAGAGCTACTGAATAAGAATTCGCATTTTAGAATTCTAGACACTCCCTCCCCACCCAGGGATTCCTTTGCCAAACACTGCTTTATGGTACTAAAAAATTATAAGGAAGTGTTGAAAGATGAAATAGCCCTTGTCCCTAAGGGTCCTACAGATTCGCTGGAAGTCATATATTATACATGAACAATTAGAGATGGGTACAAAGCCAACAAAATCAAGTGCGAAGGAGTGCCCACATTTTCCAGAAACCAAAGCCATTAGAAAACAACAGCAGCAACCACAGCATTGCCATTCTTTCCAGCTCAGATAGTAAGTGCTTCCCAGATGTTTCCACAATCAAGAAACAGATAAGGAAATGAAGAATGATGTTTATACGTCGCAGTGGGATCAAGGGACGGGGTGGCTCAGGACCAGAGTCAATTGTCTTGGGCACTGCTTCTGAAACTTAAATGGGCATCTCATGAAAATGCAGATTCTGAGAGGAGGCCTGAACTTCACAAGCTCCCAGAAGTTGCCCAGGCTACTTGTCCACGAGGGGTGAGGATTGGGGATTCAGGCCGCCCAGCCCAGTACCAGCAGCCCTAAGGGCCAGAGAAAATCAATATCTTAGTACACCTTAACACATCTATGGCTCAGTGGATGGGAAGCACTATTCTCACTCATATTAATTTGCGCTAATTCATCATTTATATTGTGACCAGAAAGTGTTGTTCCTGCACCCGAGGGCTTCTCTATTTTATTTATTAATTTTTTTAATTAAGTTTACTGGGGTGACATTGGTTAATAAAATTATATAGGTTTCAGGTAATTCTATAATACATCATCTGTATATTGTACTGTGTGTTCACCACCCCAAGTCAGGTTTCCTTCCATCACCATTTACCACTCCCCCGCTTTACCCTCTTCTGCCTCCCCCCACCCCCCTTCCCTCTGGTAATCACCATACTGTTGTAGGTCTATGAGATTTTTTGTTTTGTTTTGGTTTGGTTTTTTGCTTAATCCCTTCACTTAGTCCTCCTTCCCTCTCCCCTTTGACAGCTGTCAGTCTGTTCTCTGTATTTACAAGTCTGTTTCTGTTTTGTTTGTTAGTTTGTTTTGTTCCTTAGATTCCACCTGTAAGTGAAATCATGTGCTATTTATCTTGCTCTGACTGACTTATTTCACTTACAATAGCCAAGATTCAGAAGCAACCGAAGTGTCCATCAGTGACTGAGTGGCTAAAAAACCTGTGGTACATTTACACAATGGAATACTACAAAGTGTCCATCAGTGACTGAGTGGCTAAAAACCTGTGGTACATTTACACAATGGAATACTACTTGGCCATTTAAAAAAAAAGGAAAGCCTACCTTTGGGGG